TATATATATATATATATATATATTTCTATTTGATCTATACTAGGGTGTCTGATTTTGCGAATATCACGGCGCAAGGAGTGAATTTCTACGTATTGTACAAAGGGCTGGAATGTTATAACTTCCTGCACAGGAACCCCCTTTCTTGACTTAGTTACCAATGGTAGTTGTCAAACGACGTTCAAATTTGAATAATAACTACACAACTGCGACGACTGTCGGAGGCAGTGGAGGCCTTGGAACCACTCCCATCCGCGTAGCCTCATCGCGTGCCTCACCTGCTCTGCGTGCCTCCGCGTCCCCGCCCCCGCGGTTTACGCGACGCGTTACGGCGCTCTTGGCAGCGAGGAGGGGGGGGGGGAATGGAGGTTTGTGCTACCCTTGCATCGATTCGCAATCGGTCTTCCCGTCGTTTGATTGTTTGGTGATTCCGGGCGCAGCAACTGCTAATGTCCGTATGGATAGTGAATGTGAAATCGTCGGAAGTGGCGGTTATCTTTTTCCGTTGACTGGCGAGTTCCAGCGTCTACGTTCGTCTGCTTGCGGACATTTTCCCCTATAAGGTATCTCCCACCAGCGGGGCACCATCCCAGGCGAGACAGCACTAAGCTCCCAACTGCGTAGTGTCTCCCGATAAGTGTGGTACCGATCAGAAAGGGGATACGGGGGATACCGCTAGAATACCGCGCTCGAACCCAAGGAATTCTCGGTCAGAGGCACTGCAGTGGTATCGGTTGATGCCCTGTGACACCTTTGCCACAGCCCTCCCTTCGACATGTTGGCTTGGTTTCGTTATTATCGGAACATGGGCAATAGCTTTGTTATAGACTGCAAGCGTTTGTGTTTTTACTTTCTTTACGTTTTCCAACATTGAACTTATTATTTTATTTACAATTTAGATGACAGACGGAGACGACAAAAACTTAAGAGCACTGTTGGAAGGCAACAACTGTGTTAATATTCCGTCATTTGTGGAACAACGGATGAAAATGCATCTGCTTTATAATATATTTCAGTGGAGTTCTAAATGATATGTCTTATTTTAAAGTATCAGTATCAAAGATATGATGAAACTAGTTAAGCTAAAACGGCACGTACTTTCTCTTCTTTAGTAATTATTATGTAATACTTCTTATACCATAGTTTCTCTCCTAATTAACATATCTTAGACTACATTTTTTTTCAAAACTCATTTTCAAGCAAATATTAACACGAATTTGACAATTATAACTACTTTACACTCATCTAAATCATGTCCCAACAATAAGATGTAATTTAAAGAAATTAGCTCTCCAAGTCATTGTTGGCTAGTAATTTTTATTTCATATATTTCAAAGAGGTTTTGAAATAATTTAACAAAATTATATATAACAAAAGCTCGAATGTAAGAAATGAACAAAGAAATATGAAATAATTATTGCGCGCGCGCGCACACACACGCACACGCACACGCGCGCGCGCGCGCACCAGAAACCTCGTATTTAAAAAAAATAAAAAATAAAATAAAATAAAACCCTCATTTGAAGATGTTTTTGATGAACATTACTCATTTGAACTTGTTAAAAAGTATCTTCGTAATTATAGTTGTAGAAAGACGTCGAATATTTTTTTAAAAATTTATATAAATCGGGCATTTTAACGAACATTAGGCATGCACTATTACCTTAAGTGTTCTACGCTATCTACGGTCTAAATTTAATCAAAACATTTTGTGCCATTTTGAAGAAAAAATGATTTAAAGACAATAAAATTGCCTGTGTTTGACACAAAATTTCGCAAAAACTTAATTTTTTGAAAAATTGAACATATTGTTAGATCTGCTGTTCACGAACACATTTCATTAAGAAAATAATGTTAATCATCATAATAGTAGTTGTAGGAAAAAGCCGAAAAATCTTTAGTTTTTGCAATTTTCGTAAAATCAGGGTTATCAACGACCATTCTTTTAAACATCCTTCACACTATCCAAAAACAAAATTTAACAGAAAACGAAGTAAGTTTTTGAAAATGTCCAGGGGCATTATGTAAGGATCAGGCTTCAAATATCGGTTTCAAATTAAAGTGGCCGCGACATCAGCCAGATCGATGTGGGAATATCAATTTTTGATAAAATCGTCTGAACGGTTTAACCCTCGTCTTGGTTTTTGTTCATCGTTCTGGGCCTGCTCGACGCTCTTCCCAGTTTGGGTTCATGGCGCTAGCGTGGGGTAACTAGTGAGAAAGGGGGAGGGGGGAGGTGGGGAGGAATCTCTACCCCGTACTAGACGTTGTTCGGAGAGACCGGTTTAACCGCTAGCGTTGTTCTGGGACGGACATTTCGCCGTCAATCGATTTTTCGGTTTCGAGGACTCACAAAACATGGATTCTGGCTACACCACGTGTTAGTTTCCATCAGTAATATTTTGAGAGATTATTTAAGTGTTCACTACGAAGTTGGAATGCATGTCAGCTACTGTCATCAGGATAGGACATGGCACCCATCTGAGAAAATACATTATTAAAAGTATTCTCTGCTTTTGCGGAGTATCTTACATTAGGACTACAAAAGGTCTAGTTATACATAATTGTAGAATAGTACATTGAAGTTTGACTTGTTTCATGATCTCAAGATTTCTGCAGAGACTGCAAACTGATTCTCTTATGGTTCATGCTTATCAAGAGTATGTTTCTAGATTGCAAAGGGGAAGATGTAATAATGTATTGATTACAAAAACTTAGAGATAGATGTATCAAATGTGCAGAAATTATTTGTACGTTTTTACATTTGCTAAATCATATAAACAGTGGCAGATCATAATCAGTTTGTTAATGGATGAAAAATAGGATAATCCCTCAAAACCCCTCTGTTTTGAAATTATTTTTATGTTGAAGCTGTGGAGGAGCAAGAGTCCACTTAAAAGAAAAAAAAAATTGTTTAAATTTCAGCAATTCTATTGCTCAGAAGCACACATTGTTTAGTTGGATAGTTAATCTGAAGCTTAAACGTGTATTTATACAGATCGGGAAGACCAGTCCATCCTTTGTACTGGTGAATCTGGAGCTGGTAAGACAGAAAACACAAAGAAAGTGATACAATATCTGGCATATGTTGCTGCATCAAAGCCTAAGGGTTCCACCACTCCTCATACGGTAAGTTCACATCATTTAATCTTTAAGCAGTTTGGCAAATGCACTCTGAGCATTGTGTCTGTTCTTCCTGTTGGAAGAGAATGAAATGTGCATGAGAAGATGGATCACGTAGCATGTTCCCAGGGTGGGGTATTTAATTGCGTGGTCAATGTTTTCCTCTGAAATTAAAATTTTAAATTTTAAGTTATTGGGGAAGTGAATGAAAAAAGTCATAATGTTCACTCTTGCAGTAAAAAAAAAATCTCAGGGCAAAAGGTATTTGTATCGAATTAATAAATTTTAGATAATTTCTGTTAACATAATTATCACATTTTATCTTTCCCTGTATTAGATTTTTTAATTTTTGACAATATTTCTTTAGTTTGTGATTTAAGTTTGACTAATTTTCTAAATTTGAGATCAATCACATTTGAATATTTACTTGCAGAAAAATTAATTTCTCACTATCCTAGTTTATTATACACTTTTTATGCAGCATTTGTAACTAAACATTTCTCAACAGTTTTCTTTCCAGTAACCACTGAAACTGGTTGTGAATTTGAAATAATAATTCAGTAAACTACTAGGGATATTATAGGTTTAATAATGTTTTCAATGCATTTTGTGGAATATAAAAGTCCTTGTTCTGAATGTTCAGAGTTTGTTTGTTTCAAATAAGTTGTTGAGATGAATTAACAAATAATTTAAGATTATTGGTTAATTTGTTTTGACGACATTATAACAACTCAGAGCAAGTCATATGTTTTTAAATTTATTTTTTGGCCTTGAATTTGTGAGAAAAGCAGGTATCAACTTTAATTATCTTAACTTACGCCAATAGATGCAGACCATAGGTTGAGAAATGTTACTTTAGCCAGTAGAGACCTGTCAACTAAAATATGCAGTACTAGCTCATAAAGTTGCTTGTCAATGGATCCCTTCAACTTGCACCAGGGGTCTGCTCCTCAGATGGTCTTTGACCAAGCATAGACAGCACAAATTAATCTCTCTGCCACCTTCAATAGTTATTGTATTACACAAAGTATATATTGCAGATGGGTCTCCTAAAAGTATTACTAGCTGTTAAATTCAGAGTTGTTCAATTTCAGGTAGTTTATTATATTATTCAAATCAAAAATTCATTTTAGTGGGATTTTGTTTTTGAAAGATCATTGTTGTAAAGTAATTGTGTTCATCAATGTGATTTTAAACATACTAGAGTTGTGAAGTAACATAGAAGGGAAATGGCCATTTGTTTCATTGTTGAGGAATTTCATTCTAATTTTTTCCAATTTTGGTGTGTGTTACCCTGATTATTACATGAATTTTTAACTTGTTTCCTTCAGATAAATAAATCATATCTCATTAGATCCACACAAAAAGAGCATGTTGTTATAAATAGAAATGCATGTTCTTATAAATGCATCAGCCAAATTCGGAAAAATATGCTCTTTCTGAAACAAATGTGTTCTTGATTTATAGCCTACTGCCTATAGTTTGCATGTGAATATTCAGAGCTGCTTCTTATTCATCAAAGAATGAAAAATTCATTGTTGTCTTTTCATATCTTCCATCAAATCATCAAATGTCTCTATTCCTTTTTAAATTGATATTTTTCAATTTTTTATTTTTTTATAATCTTCGAGCAGAGTGTAAAGTAGATATATTGTTTAATTTTGAAATTAATGAATTGTAAATTAATTTTCCTTTGCATTGCCTATTTTAATTAGACAAATTGTAGAATTAACTTTGAAGTAGGATATTTAAACTATTTTAAAAGAAGAGGTAAACCTTATACTGATTTTAATTGTATGGCAGTTGTTAATGCAAGTAGGGGATGAATGTGACACATGTTCTTCCTTTGGTAATGTTATCCATTGTTATCAGTTATAATTGTTATCCTTGTTGAATGTAAATGTAGTAGTCTGAAATTGAAAATTTAGTTTTTTTCAATAATCAGAATGTGAAAGAACTAAGCCAGTGATATTCAATTTTAAAATTTCTCCAACATTTAGTTTCATATTAGCTTATGCATGTACGCAGGTTGTAGTTTGTTTCTAATGATTCTGAGATTCTGACGATTTTTTAAAATTACAATTGGCAGCTCTGATATTCATAGACAATGCCAGAATCTAGTATTTATAGGCTTTTTGCTGCATGTATTTATAATGTTGCCCTTTTCTGTCCTGTTTCTGTTGCATACGGCCGCTGCATGTGCAGTCTCCCAGCCCAGCCCTCATCATAGTAAGTATCGCGTTGTCTTCTGCACTATGTACTAGCGGGCTGGGGGGACTGAGGCTCACTGTGGGTGTGGTTTTCATTGTAGTCAACAGTAGCCTTAAGTCAAAACTGTGCCAGTCAGTGAAAGGTAGTGTGATTATTCAGGGTCTCCAAATTCATCTGCAGACTCTTTACTTGGAAGCAAAGTAATTGTTGATGGAAATTTGTTTTAAAATAATTTCTGAATGTATCTTTCTTCAAAAGTTTGGAGAACCCTTATTGTTGTCGTTCCACTGTGTTTTATTTTTGTTTTTCAAACACAAACAAATGTATGGCATGAAAAGTAATGGAAGGGGGGTATCTTTTAAATAAAGATGGAAGACTTATTTTATTTTTACTTTACAGTGGAGGGTGTTGTAGACAGTACTGTTGTGGACTGTGTTAAATATCTACTCTTTAAAAATGCATTTTTATTTTATTAGAATAGAATGTTGAATAGCATTGAGTAGCACTAGTGAGTAGTGTCAATGTTGTTGCTTAGATGTAATTAGACATCATAACAACTAATTATAATAATTTAATCCTTTTATTTCCCTCTTTCATGCTTTCATAGCCAAACTGTAATTTTGCGGTAAAGTATACATTGCTTATAAAATGCTAGATAAATTGCTGTTTTTCTTACAGAATTTAATAATGATGAGAGATTTTTGTATGGTTTAGGGTGAACTTGAACAGCAACTGCTACAGGCCAATCCTATTCTTGAAGCATTTGGAAATGCAAAGACTGTCAAGAATGACAACTCTTCTCGATTTGTAAGTTGAACACTGTAGTGTAATTGGTGTGTTTTGAAATTATGGATCATTAAGTTCAGATATGGTTGACCCATGCTTGGCAATGGTACATATCCACGTTCTTTCCAGGGTAAATTTATTCGCATTAATTTTGATGCATCTGGCTATATTGCGGGGGCCAACATTGAGACTTACCTATTGGAGAAATCAAGAGCTATTAGACAGGCTAAGGATGAACGTACTTTCCACATTTTCTACCAACTGCTTATGGGTGCACCGCCAGAGTACAAGAGTGAGTTTTCTTAAATGTTTTTACTTAGTCCACATATGCTGTATACATAGAATACCAAACATTGAATTTGCCCGGATTTGGATAGTTTCTTTTCTGAAGTAGTTTCCTCATTGAATTCTTTGATCACATTAAATAATGCATAATAAATTGTTCACAAGTTTAAATTATATTTAATTTAAAATTATCTTTTTACAGAGGAATTCATTTTGGATGATCCCAAATCGTATTCCTTCCTGTCTGGTGGTCATCTGCCAGTTCCTGGTGTTGATGATGCTGCTGAATTCCAGGCCACATGCAAAGCAATGAATATCATGGGAATGACACAAGAAGATCTGTCTGGTAGGAAGAAATCTGTGATGTTCACTATACTTTTATAATTTGTCAGAATCTATTTGTAATTGTTTGATGTGCTTTTATTGCAGCTATCTTCCGCATCATATCTGCTGTGATGTTGTTTGGTAACATGAAGTTTAAACAGGAACGAAACTCTGATCAAGCAACCCTGCCAGACAACACTGTAGCACAGAAGGTGGCACATCTCTTGGGTCTTAGTATTACAGAGATGACAAAAGCCTTCTTAAAACCACGAATCAAAGTTGGACGAGATTTTGTCACAAAGGCCCAAACAAAAGAACAGGTGAGAGTTTGGTTTGTGATTGATACTTACCATAAATTACAGGGTTTGATACTGTTGAAAACCATGTTAATTTACAATTATTAAGACCGAAATATTTGAGTTGCAACATTACATTTTTGTGAATTCATAATGTTATTTTGGGTGTATTTGTGAATTAGTGGACTGTTGCACATATCCAGTGTAATATACTTTTTCCAGTAAAAAAAAAATTAAAAAATTGGTAACATAAGTGGAAATAATTTTTGTTGCCAAACCTTCTGGTAAAACTGAATGTATTTAGTGGAAAGGTAGGATAAGAAATTAAGATCAGTTAAACTATTTTGTAATTAAATTTATGTGCAATTTCAAATCCTGTCATCCTGTTGAAATCGCATAACTAAATAGATTACATGAAGAAATATCTACAGAACATCACAGTACAAAGTTTCAATTGCATATTTGCAATTGCAATTGCCAGTCACAGTTTATTAAATGAAATGTAATAATTTTTTTTTAGATTAATTTACTTAATGTGTGATATTATTGACTTTACTTTTAGGTGGAATTTGCAGTGGAAGCAATTTCTAAAGCATGCTATGAGCGCATGTTCCGTTGGCTAGTCAACAGAATTAACAGATCTTTGGATAGGACAAAACGACAAGGAGCATCTTTTATAGGTATTCTTGACATGGCAGGTTTTGAAATTTTTGAGGTTAGTATCAAGAGGAAGTTTCATTATGCTTTACATAATTTACAGATATTTAAGCATTGTTTATTCATTTACTGAAAAACTTCATATTTCTCTAACAGCTGAACTCTTTTGAACAATTGTGCATCAATTACACTAATGAGAAATTGCAGCAGTTATTCAATCACACTATGTTCATTCTGGAACAAGAAGAGTACCAGCGGGAAGGTATTGAATGGAAATTCATTGACTTTGGTTTGGATTTGCAGCCTACCATAGACCTTATTGACAAGGTAAGGTTTATTTTGAGAAATCTTTGTTATAATTTGTTATATAATACATTTTAGGGTAATGAAAATTATATTTTTTTAATGTAAATCATGTATACATTTAATTATTTTGGCTTTAAAGTCAACCTTTTTGCCTGTCTCTACATTTGCCTATTGCCAAGTATTTTTCTGCACCCAGAACAAGTGTCATTGAACTTATTGTTTTTACCAATATCCTATTTCATACTTTCAAAGATTTCATCCCTTGAAGGTTTGTTTCTACTGCAGTTCTTTGCAACAATTGATGCCCGCTTGGAATGTTTTGAGTCTATAGCAGTGGCATGCAAAATTCTTCAGCTAGGTTCAGTAAATATGACTGCTGGGTTGGGATGGTTTCCTGAGACCTTTTCATACAGAATCCTGGAATTGATTCCAGCTAAATATTCTGATGTCATAAAGTACATGGACAGTCCAGTGTCTGTATTAAGATTCAGCAGTAGAGCTTGTGCCATTTGTTGTCATCCCAATAGCTTTTAAAACTAGCAGTCATATTATATATATCTCTTTTGTGCCAGTTAGATGTAATAAAATGTGTTATTAAATTTTGAACTAATGATCAATAGAGAAATAATTAACGTATTTTACTAATTTCGTTGGTACCCTTTTTTTTGTTATTTTGATGCTATTTGAATCAAATTTACTTATATTACTCTTCTCGCACAGCCAATGGGAATTATGGCCTTGCTAGATGAAGAGTGTTGGTTTCCAAAGGCCACAGATAAATCTTTCGTTGAGAAGCTGGTCAGTGCCCATAGTGTGCACCCTAAATTCATGAAGACAGATTTCCGAGGAGTGGCAGATTTCTCTGTGATCCATTATGCTGGCCGTGTGGATTACTCTGCTGCCCAGTGGCTTATGAAGAACATGGACCCCCTAAATGAAAATGTTGTCTCTCTTCTTCAGGCTTCTCAGGACCCCTTTGTTGTACATATCTGGAAGGATGGTAATAATTGTTTCATACATTTATGAAGGATGCTTTAGAAATGTTAAACTGCCATTTTTTTGTGTGTTGTTAAAATCTATTAGTGATGTATGATTTGGGACAATTGTTGACAATAGTTCACTTTGCATTTCTAATTTATTTTCATTGGTGAATATTAGCAGGAGCGTTAATTATGTACATTTAACAATCGTTCTGTATACAAATAAAAAATTCTTGTATTCCTAATTTACAAATCTGGTTGATAAATGTAAGTTGCGATAGATGATAGTTTTTTTTAAAACATTACCATTGAGGAAACCCTTTTGATAATGCACAGTAGTACTTCTTAGTTTCTTTTTTGGAAAGATCTCTTAGGAGTGTGTATGTGGTTTTGTAATGAAATGTTAAAAATAAACAAATGATAATTAATATGATATTAATGATATTTCAATTATGTTTTAAATTTGTATTTACAGCGGAGATTGTGGGTATGGCTCAGCAGGCATTAACAGACACCCAGTTTGGAGCTCGAACTCGCAAGGGCATGTTCCGAACAGTCTCACAATTGTACAAAGAACAATTGGCTAAGCTCATGGCTACTCTTCGCAACACCAATCCTAACTTTGTGCGCTGTATTATACCCAATCATGAAAAGCGTGCTGGCAAGATCGATGCTCCTCTTGTACTTGATCAATTGCGTTGCAATGGTGTTTTGGAGGGCATTCGTATATGCCGACAAGGCTTCCCTAATCGTATACCATTCCAGGAGTTCCGACAAAGGTAGATAATTCGTAAACATGATCAAATGAGTATTTCAAATTGTGAGGATATGGGAGATGTAATTTGAAAAATTGTGAATTCATCTAACTAGAAGAAATTTCATGAAGAGACATAAATGTTTATTTATTCATTTCATTTTAGATATGAATTGCTGACCCCTAATGTTATCCCAAAGGGTTTCATGGATGGAAAGAAAGCTTGTGAAAACATGGTAAATACAACTTTTTATTGATAATAATTTTTAATGATTCTTTCAAAATGAAAAAAATATAAGTTAACAGATATAGCAGAACTAATTATGATGGTTTCCAGATTAATGCTCTAGAATTGGACCCCAACCTGTACCGTGTTGGCCAGTCAAAGATTTTCTTCAGAGCTGGAGTGCTTGCTCATCTGGAAGAAGAGCGAGATTACAAAATCACTGACCTCATTGTAAACTTTCAAGCATTCTGCCGTGGCTATTTGGCAAGGAGGTATTATTCACATAGTTTTTATGTTTTGTTTTATTTTTTCCAGAATTTTTTTCATTTTTGATTTAATTATATTACCTTGAACATTAATTAAAGAAACAATTTTCAGAAACTTCCATAAGCGAACCCAGCAATTGAATGCCATTCGCATCATTCAACGAAACTGTGCTGCCTATTTGAAGTTGCGCAACTGGCAATGGTGGAGGCTGTATACTAAAGTAAAGCCTTTATTAGAAGTTACCAAGCAGGAAGAAAAGCTCACCCAAAAGGAAGATGAACTCAAACAAGTAAAGGAAAAACTTGATGTAGCTACTACAAATGTACAAGAATACGAGCGTAAATACCAACAGGTTAGTATTATTTGGCTTTAAACATTTTATAGGCATCTAAAATCTTCATTGGTTTACTTTGGAAAGTAGTTAAATAATAGTAAACTAGTGTATCTGTGCAAGAACTCTCGCATGTTAATTCCCACCCTTTCCCTATCCTTTCTATTAAGAAGGAAAGTTGTTAATGAAAAATGTTTTCAATAAAGGTTTATTCAGTATTATATAGATAACTTCTTTGAACAATTCACAAAACATTCTTGAGAAATCTATGTGACTGAACACGCTGACTTCAAAGTTTCACCGAATCACTGCAGATAGCAAAAATTCTGGTACAAGTAAAACAAACCTAACAAGACACATCTTCACTCTTTACTGTACACCGACATCCCTCCACAAGTAGGTACATAGCACTTGTAGATTTCAGCAAAACGTAAAATGAATTTTTTTCACTACCTGCATAAGAAACAATCTTCATCAGAATCAAGCAACTGTTAATAGTACTTCTAGTTTTTGCTACAAGGAGGAAATTGTGAATTAACAATTATGCAAATAAACCTTGTCAATATTTACAGACCATGGTGTATACAGAAAGCGTAAATAGTACAAGAGGAATCTATGCCTTCTAAGCGTGATGTCACAAAGATGGCCACCGTTAACTAGGGTTGAAATATAGGTGGCCTTTGTAGTATCGATAAGTGTTGAACCAGCAAAAACATAATAGAATGTCCAAGAATAATACTAATTAATTTAATTGTTTAATTCATGAAATTCTTTTTCAAAATTAAATTTTTCAGAACCTCTTTCAGTTTTGTAATCAATTTTACTCGAAAGGGAGCATCTCTGTGTGTTTCTGAGCCAGAAAATAAGTGTTTGTGGTGCAGTTGGTGTACCACAGTATAAGAAAAACTGTCATTTCAGGCTGTAGCCGAGAAAGCTGTGCTTTCAGAACAGTTGCAAGCTGAAGTTGAGTTATGTGCAGAAGCTGAAGAAATGAGGGTTCGACTGGCTGCACGGAAACAGGAATTGGAAGAAATTCTGCATGACTTGGAAACTCGCATTGAGGAGGAAGAAGAAAGGTCTAATAATTTGATGAATGACAAAAAGAAACTCCAACTGAATATTCAGGTAAATGGCATTAGGTAATTAATTTCACATTGTGTATAACGTAAGTAAATAGTAGTTATGAAAATTGGATTGATAACCTAATTTAATAACACTGAACGGGATATTTTCATTATTTTGGTGGTTATTCTGTGATAGAAATGTGAATTATGTGAAGGACAAGCATGATCTATGTGCAGGACAAACAAAATCATTTCCTCTTGCTTTTATCTGCTTAAATGTTTGTGCTATTACTCATTCTTTTGTATCTGTAGGACTTGGAAGAACAATTGGAAGAGGAGGAGGCTGCAAGGCAGAAACTGCAATTGGAGAAAGTTCAGTGTGATGCTAAGATCAAGAAACTAGAAGAAGACTTTGCTCTTTCTGACGATCAGAACCAGAAGGTAGAATTATGTTGTATTCTTTTTTCCCTTCTTTTTCTCCCCACCACAAACTTTTCATATTCTTTTCTGATTTTCTTAATTATTTCTGTTGATTTATTATTTGTTGAAACTTAACATTTTGTTTCTAAAACCCTTTTTTCTTCCAATTTGTAGCTTTTGAAAGAAAAGAAAATTCTTGAGGAGCGAGCTGCAGATCTCTCTCAGACTCTTGCAGAAGAAGAAGAGAAGGCCAAACATTTGTTGAAACTAAAAGCAAAACATGAATCTACAATTGCAGAGTTAGAAGAAAGGCTTCTGAAGGATCAGCAACAACGACAGGAAATGGATCGCTCTAAGCGGAAAATAGAGACTGAAGTTAGCGATCTGAAGGAGCAGTTGAACGAAAGAAAATCTCAGGTACAGTGTCATCAGTATCATTCATTAGAATGATTATTGTAGCTTAATAGTACAAGGGGAAAATGAAAGAAAGAAAGAAAAAAGTTAAGTAAGTATACTATTTGAAGTCCTTTTGAAATTAATGTATTAAAGAGTTTAAAATCACGAGAAGATTGAGAAAAAAAATATGAGAACATTATAAGAATGTTGGTATAGTACTAAATGTGAATTATAATTGTTCATTTACATATGTTAGGTTGAGGAGCTTCAGCTGCAACTTGGAAAACGAGAGGAGGAATTGGCACAGGCTCTGATGCGCATTGATGAAGAAGGGGCTGGGAAAGCTCAATCTCAAAAGGCAATGAGAGAATTGGAATCACAGCTGGCTGAGGTACAAAATATCTCTTTACATATTTTTTTAATATCTGGATATTATGAGAAGAGAGATTGTACTTTTTTCTTCTGTAAAAAGCAAATTTATTTATATTTACTTATCTATTTTTAAGCTTCAAGAAGATCTGGAAGCAGAAAAAGCAGCTAGAAGTAAAGCCGAAAAGCAAAAAAGAGACTTAAATGAAGAACTTGAAGCCTTGAAAAATGAGCTGTTGGATTCCCTGGACACAACAGCTGCCCAGCAAGAGCTTAGAACAAAAAGAGAACAGGTAATACTACATAAAGAACTGTTTAAATTACAAATTTTAAGCAAAATAATCTTCTTTGTATTAACTTTCTTAATTTACAGGAATTAGCAACTCTCAAAAAGACTCTTGAAGAGGACACTCAAATTCATGAAGTGACTATAGCTGACATGCGCCATAAGCATAGCCAGGAAATCACTGCCATTAATGAACAATTGGAGACTCTTAAGAAGGTACCTGAAAGTTTGTTTCTGACTCATAGGCGAGTGATGAAAGGGATACATTCAACTAAATTTTATTGTATTTGCAGTCAAAACAGACTATTGAAAAAGCAAAACAACAGTTGGAGGCAGAGAATGCAGACCTGACTACAGAATTACGATCTGTTGGAGCAAGTAGGCAGGAATCTGAGAGACGGAGGAAACAGGCAGAAAGCCAACTTGTAGAGTTGCAAAGTAAAGCTGCAGAGTTGGAGCGATCTCGACAGGAGTTGTCTGAACGGGCTGCCAAACTGCAAGCAGAAGCTGAAACAATTGGTAACCAGTTGGAGGAGGCAGAGCTTAAGGCATCAGCTGCTATAAAGAGTGCTGGCACAATGGAAACACAGCTCCAAGAAGCTCAGGTAATTTCATTCATTTCTTTGCAGAGGCTGTTGATGGTGAGTGACAGGGCCTTGCAACTTTCCATCAAAAGAGGGGACAAAGCTTGAGAGTGCTGCTCTAGGAGGCACTAGTGTCACCAGGCACAGCTGCAGGTTACGCTCACCAACTTACGCACATAAAAATTGGCAAATTTGTGAGAAATAGGAAAAGTGTCTTTTAAATGTTCAATTATCCATAATATACACATATAAGAAACCCCTGAAGAAAGCGTGGACATCGGCGCTATCTTTTGTAACTTTGGCATGGGGAATTAATTTTTTGTAACATGTGCCTGCTTACGACCCATGAACTGGTGCAGTAATCACGCAAGTCACCATAATGGTTTCCACCACGTTATATGAGAGATATAAGGCCCTGGTGAGCGAGATGAGAATTATAGATAATATAACTGATTGTACAAAATAGTGGAGTAAATTTAGGATAGCTCACTGGTTCAGAGTGACTGTAATATTTTGACAAATAATACAAATTGTCAAAAATGATGGTGTAACTAACTAATGATCGTTAATTTTCTTTTCTTTTTTTTCGGAAATCGGGACTGGTGGTATGTAAGTAAAGTTACTATATAAAAGATGGATGTTGGTTTTTTTAGACCCTTCTGGAAGAAGAAACAAGGCAAAAGTTGGCACTTAGCTCCAAACTTCGACAAATAGAGAGTGAAAAAGAAGCTTTGCAAGAACAGTTGGAAGAGGAAGAGGAAGCAAAGCGCAACTTGGAGAAGCAACTAGAGGCCGCAGCTGTCCAGTTGCAGGAAGCCAAGAAACGGCTGATTGAAGAAACAGAACTTGTCAGTCAACTAGAAGAAGTGAAAAAGAAACAAGCGAAGGTAGGTGGGGTGTTTTTGTTTTGCTTTGTGACTTATTGGAAAGAGACTAGTATGTGAATAATTTGCCGGTGTATTTTAAACTATATACCCCACACACCTGTTTCAACTCCTATGTATACTTTTTTTTTATGGTTCTTAAAGATGGTCGTCATAAACGAGAGTGAAACCTATATTACATTTTAAGCGACCATCTTTGATTTCATGAAGGAGTCAGTTCTTTTCTGGTTTCAAAATTTAAAACTTTATCTACAATAATGCAAGGATTTTTATATAGCACCCGCATATCCTGATCGAAGCTTCTCTGTAACATTAGTGCTGAATTTGTTATAGGGGGTGCATCGTAATGACTTCATAATAACACTTTGCAGACTAAAGAAAAGTATAATTTGACATATATGAGCAACATTACAATCTTATACCATTTATGCCCAGGGTGCAGTTATTACAGATAAGTTTGAATGATGCCCTTCTGACTAGACTGATGTAATATTATGAAAACTGCATTTGACACTTGGCTCAAGCTTCAGTTAGTAATTCAGTTACTAATTACTATTAGTTCCTTCATCATTACTACTTTTTTCTAATTGATGTGATAAACACTTGTTACTCTTCATATTGGAGAAAGTGTCTTGATTTCATTCCTTTACTTCAGGATATTGAAGCATTGCAACACCAAGTTGAAGAGCTGCAGGCAGCTCATGACAAGCTTGATAAATCGAAGAAAAAGCTTCAGGCTGAACTTGAAGATGCTAACATTGATCTGGAAGCTCAGAGAGCTAAGGTTTTGGAGTTGGAAAAGAAGCAACGAAATTTTGATAAGGTTTTATCTGAGGAGAAGGTAAGAGGGGTTGGCTGCTTTTGAGAATATTGTAAGTTTTTGTAATATCTGAGGATATTTATTTTTAATTTGGTTGTTTGATTGTGCTTTTTCAGGCAGTTTCCCAACAGTATGCTAAGGAAAGAGATATTGCTGAACTTGAAGCTAGAGAAAAGGAGACACGGGTTTTGTCACTGACTCGGGAGCTTGATGAGCAGAGCGAGAAAGTGGAAGAACTGGAACGTATTCGTCGCCAGCTGCAGTCTGAATTGGATGAGCTTGTCAATAATCAAGGAACTGCAGATAAGAATGTAAGAATTACAATTTTTTGTGCGATTTTAAGGTAAATTATAATATTTATGCTTCTGTACAAATGAAAAACAATCTGTGTGAACATATGATTTCATTACTTAGATAATTTTTAAATTGTGAGTATGGAAAAATTATTCTTAGGTCATAGTACTACTAGTGAATATTTTTGCAGCAAACATTGCAATTTGAAATGCTGTTGGCCATTTGACTGTTCATAGTAAAGTCAACTAATAATTTTTCAAGAATTCTCACTTTGTAAACCTTTCAGACATCTTACTCTAACTCATTCACTCTGTAGGAAGACAATTTTCTTTTGATTGTTGCTGCTCAAAGTAGTAATATGTATCACATCCACTATACAGAAAGAAATAATTTGGTATTGGGAAAGACTTAGAACTATTTCAATAATTTTGTTTGTGGAATTGTTTTTTTCATGAACAAAATGGAGGATGGAACTATTCTTGTGACACTGATTCTATATGTCGGTATGCACGTATGCGTGTATGCATGTATGCGTGCTTGGGTGTGTGGGTGGGCGGGCGGGAAGTAATTGTCATCTGATGTCTGCTAACTTATTGGCAAAGTAAAAATTTGTAGATCTTTTGTTTAATATGTTTAAAGTAGTACAGGACTCAGTTTTAGGGAACTTAACTTGGGTAAATGTTAATTTTTTGTCTTGTTTTCATGTTGCATTTCGATAGGCAGAGGTAAGCCTTTAAAAAGTGCAGTATTTTCTCTCCTTTGGGAATTATTTACCCCTGCTAGGTTCATGTAATGCTTCATGGAGCTGTTGTGAAGTGGTGTTTAAGTGTTTATATAATGCGAGTTTTGAAATATGCTTTCTCAATTTTCCTAGAATTATAAAGAATTTTGCTGATCGTATTCTCCATACATTTTTGAGTTTGCTCTTTCTTACTCCCAATTACAATGTGGTTTATCTTGCATAGTTTCATCACAAGAAGCAATGTATGTTTATTCAGCACAATTGTTGGGTTATAATGCTTGAATTCAAAGATTGTATTTTCTTTTTATGTATTATTTTACTTTGTAATTTTATAGCAAATGCTTCTAGTATTTGCTTGTTCACTTTAAGTAATGTGATTATGTAAGTATTACTGTTTCATTTTCTTATGTGTGACTAACCTCTAATGTTTACCCTATTCCTATTGTATTTTCAAATTTGGTGTGCGAGCTGCAGTGGCCTTCATTTATCTTTGTTATTTCATTTATTATAAGTGTACTGGTTGTTGTTCTAATAAAAAAATTTCATGGTTTTAGTATTTTTAGACTACTTTTACACAGCTAGAACTGCAAATTTTGTTTTGCTGGTAGAGTTGCCCTTTTTTAATTTTAATTTCAAAGAATGCATTCCTGGATATGTAAAATCCTTAAACTTATTTTTGGGGATTATGCATTTTTACCCTATTACTTACCCTATTACTACCCTTTTACTTAGTTGTGGAATTGGTGACATGGCACTCATTACCACTTCTTTTGCAGGTGCATGAATTAGAAAAGGCAAAACGTGCTTTGGAAAGCCAACTGGCAGAGCACAAAGCTCAGAACGAAGAGCTGGAAGACGAATTGCAGTTGACAGAGGATGCAAAACTCAGACTAGAAGTTAACATGCAAGCATTGCGTGCCCAATTTGAGCGTGATCTTCAAGCAAAAGAAGAGCAAGCAGAAGAGAAGAGACGAGGTATCTTGAAACAGCTCCGCGACTTGGAGGCAGAATTGGAAGATGAGAGGAAACAGCGTGCAAATGCTCTGGGTCAACGCAAGAAACTTGAAAGCGATATTAAAGACATGGAGCAGCAATTAGAGATGCACGATAAGATCAAAGAAGATGCTCTCAAGCAACTCAAGAAACTTCAGGTGAGAATTTGAGGAATTAAATGATCGGTTAATGATTAATGTATTGTAATATTTTTATTGGCACTTCTGAGGAATTCATTTACAATTTAATAATATTTTATATGAAATTAGCCTATTAAAGCATGTGGCCTGAACATTGTGACCAATTGTGAGCAAATTGTGCAGGAGAGGTGGAAAAGCATTTTGATCTTTAAATCTCAATTACTGATAGTAGTTGATAATATTTCTTCTTCTTCTTGCTTCTTTTTTTTCTTCTCAAATAATACAGTGAAACAAACTAAACATTGGGTTTGTCAATAATAAGAAGCATCACATTGTTTTCATAAAATATCAAAAGTTTTACAAATGGGAACAAGCGTGTGGGATGCAGGAGAAAAAAGTTAAACTAATAGCTTATAGTTCACTCAGGTCTTCTTTCATTTCTTGATAAGCTAAATTGAGCAGCCTTACTATCTAGCCAATTTCCATTAAACCTACTCTGATAAGTGGAAGAGGAGATCTAAATCCTAATGTGAAACTAAAAATCCTTGTTGGTGCTTGTGCTGTTGTTCTGCTAAACTTCTTTATAAACATATCAATAGCGATTAATCACAATGATAAGTAAAAATTCAGTTAATACCCTACTATCTTTGTTTGAGGAAAAGTGATACTTCATCATTGTATTGGACCCATTGAATGTCAATGTTCATTGCTTAATTTCTTAGAAATGGGAACTTTACGCAATTACTTATCGCAAACTGCTTTAAGAGTGGTACACGTTTGTCCCTTAATTTTCTGTTAGATGTCTGCATGATGTGTCTGCAAACGAACTTGGTATAGGCTATACTTAGCCAATTCATAAATTGTTTTGCTTTAATCTCATCCAAACATCACTTGTGCAAATTAAGAAAGAACTTGGTGGGGTACAGATGAGAATCTACAAAAGCTTAACTCTTAATAATGGTTCTTTTGGATAAGGATGTACGAGTGTTTAACAGAGTCTGTTGTTATTTGCTAAGGCTCAAGCCAAGGACTCTGCAAGAGATGCAGAAGAAGCTCGAGTGGCTAGAGATGAATTGGCTGCTGCAGCAAAGGAAACAGAGCGTAAACTTAAGGCCTTGGAGGCTGAGTTAGTGCAAATGAGTGAAGACCTTGCAAGTGCAGAGCGCGCTCGGCGAGCTGCAGAGAGTGAGCGAGATGAATTACAAGAAGAGATCTCCAACAATGCGAATAAGGGGTAAGAGGAAATTAAAGGATACAATAGAGTTTAAGTTTGCAAAATGTCAAAAACAAAGCCGTAAATTTCCTCCGGAGTGCTCAGATTTTTTAACTTGAAGAACTAACTTACTAGAATTGTAAAATACTTCTCAATATGATCATTTTTTAGAAATATTGGAAGATTAAGATTTTCATATTAAGATTCCATAAGATATTCTCTTATGGAGTTATTGATACAAATGCATAATAGTTTAATAGCATCATAATTGTTTATTTATCACAAGAATGAAAAACAAAGTTCTCTTTTCACAGAACACTGTTGTTGGATGAGAAGAGACGTCTGGAAGCTCGTATCACTACTCTTGAAGAAGAACTGGAAGAGGAACAGAGCAATTCAGAGATCCTTATGGACAGAGCTCGTAAAGCGCAGATGCAGATCGAGCAACTTACTACTGGTCAGTGTCATTTGAAAAACTGCAGAAAATTGAAAAGCCATGCTCCTTAGTTTGTTAAATTGGCTTTCTCAGAATTTTATTAGCAGTAATGTTGACAAGAGATCTGAAATCTAGATTCAATTTTTAATGGAAATGATCTTTTTAAAAAATTTTATCTCTTGGTTTCTTTCATTGCTGATTACTTCTGTTAAACAAAACAATTTTATTGCAGACCTAGCAGCAGAACGTTCTACGACACAGAAATTGGAGACTGGTCGCATGCTCTTGGAACGTCAAAACAAAGAACTTAAGGCTAAGTTGGTTGAATTGGAGACTGCTCAGCGTACTAAAACAAAGGCAACGATTGCATCTCTGGAATCGAAGATAAATAATCTTGAAGAACAACTTGATGTAGAGGCGAAGTAAGCACTTTTGTTATTATCACAGTAACACTTAAGAATATTGAAATAGTTTGTGGCATTGTAAATCTGCCATAAACATCTTGCATTCATTTCTATTGAAAATTAAAATAATGAATAAGATTCTTAAGATTTTGGTTATTGGTTTATCACTGTCATAATTAGAAGTGAGTTACTATTTATTACATTCTGTAGTTACTCCAGTGCTTGCAAATATTAGTCTTCCTTTGCATTGAAATGAAATTAAAATATAAAGTAACAGAGATTCTAACTTTCTATTCTCTTCATTTGAACTTGTGTTTATGGTGTCTGAGATGTTGATCCCTTTTCCACCGTTTGGAAGTGTTTTTAGAATCGCAGGCAAACTGGAAATGGCTCCAAGAAATCTTATATTATATTGCTAAAATTCCTGAAATTTCATTTTTAATCCTGTTACTTTAACTGCCCTTATGGCAGTCCTTGCTGCAGCTATTGCTTGTAGCAGTGTAAAAAATAATCAATCTATTTTATGACCTTCATTTGGTATAAAATCTTTAGCTCTTCACTTAAATTCTGTAATGTTATATTTCATACTTGCATGTTCTATATATTATTCTTTAACCAATTAACTATGATCTTAGGGAGCGACTAGCCCAGCAAAAAATCAACCGCAAGCAGGACAAGAAATTGAAGGAACTGCTCATGCAGCTGGAGGATGAGCGGCGGCATGCTGACCAGTACAAAGAGACAGTTGAGAAGGTTTGCATACAGTCATTCATATGCCAGCATGAAACTCAAGCCACTGTTACTTCTCAATGTTAAATATCTGATAATGAATCTCCGTATATATTCTCGTATATATTCTCATATTTAGCAAGAGGTTTTAAAAGGATAAGGAAATACTAAGATGAATTAGACCTGACAGAGTAATAAGAATATAGAATTCAAAAAATTGCTGTTTATTTTGGATATTAAATGAGATTAAACTTGCATGTAAGGTGTAAAATTGCTTGGGTGTAAAATGTAATATTTTTGTGATATTTTCAAGTTCCTTGTGCTTTGATTCTCCTAAATCTTTTTTCTATAAATTGTAATTCTTTATGTTCAGGGCAATGCCAGGGTGAAGGCGCTAAAGAGACAACTGGATGAGTTAGAAGAAGAAGTCACCAGAGAGAAGGCTCAGAAACGTAAAGCACAGAGAGATTTGGAGGACATGATAGAATCCCATGAGAGTATGTCCAGGGAGCTTACAAACCTCAAAAATAAGTACAGGTAAAGCAATCTTGTATTCTTTTAGATGTTGGTTTTCAAGTCTTGAAATAAGAAGTCTAGAAATGCAAAATAAGTACAGTAGAACTCTGATTTAATGTCATCTTGATTTAAAGTCCTGATGATGCAATTAATGCAATTACATTTTCAATTTAATGTCATTAGCTTTGACACACAACCCACATTTAACATAAAATTATTTTGGATTGTTATTTTTCCTCCACAAATTAGCAACAAGTTGCCAAACACATCATTCAACACCATCTGTAATGCAGTGTAGCTAACTGAAGTGTATGAAAACTATTAATTGCTTCAATGACATCTGTATTAAGATGGTGTTAGACTAAGTTTGCTCCTCTAAATCAGGATGTGATGTAGCAGGAGTGTCCCTCATCCATATAAATTTTGCACAGATACAACTTATGTGATAATATTGTGATTTAATTATTCATGGGACTATCCATAAATTATGTAATACAATTTACAGTATTTTGAATACCCTGCTCTCCCCTGTAACATATTTCTAATGTGCACCCTCCCCAATACGTAACGTTTGCGACAAACCCTCTCCCCAACTTACAATGAGTAAAAATTAATTATGAAGTAGAAACGGCAAGATGAATTAATTTAATTTGGGTTTTATATTAAAATTTATGATAGTGTGAATTAGGTGGCGATGCAGACTGCACCTAACAGTAAGATTTAGGACAATTTTTCAAGGAAGGAAATACATTTAGCCAAGAAAATTCCTCAAAATACTCCTACACATACGGCACTGTAGTGGGTGATGCATGGGCCGCAAGTCTACTGTGCCAATGTAATTGGAAAAAAATCTTTGTAATCTAATAGGTTTAATGAAACTATAATTGCATTTATTGTAACAATTTATACATTATAATTTTTCAAGTGATTCATAATTTTTCTTTTAATTGGGTAATTTGTTAAGGATTTAAAAGTCTGAATAAAAAAAAATTAAGCAAATATTGAAAAATTTTAAAAATGAATATCAGCATGTAACACTAAACTATGACCCGCTACCCCCATGTAATGCAGGATAACGCTACTTTAACCCCCATCCCCACCCCCACCCCCTCTTTAGCTTTACATGATTTATGGACAACCCATAACAAATGAAGCATTTAAGAAAATAAAATAGAAAATTCTTGGTTATTTTTAACTTTGTTTCTTTAAAGAATGCACAAACCTCCATTTAGTGTAAATCCCCCATTTAAAGTAAGAATTTTAGGCCCCCCTGAGGTGATGTTCAGTAAGGGTTCCACTGCATTATCATTGTTGGATTACAAAACAAGGAACTCAGTATCAGTAAAGTTTCATTTACCAGTCACTTCAATTTAATATTCGTTTTGTTTACAAGCTTTCTGTAATTATGTTTCAGCATTGTTTTTCAAAGTGTGTCTTACTGTTGATTTATTTCAAAAATTTTCCAAATGTATGCAATAGTTCATGCAGTTCTTTTTGGCCTTACATTTTTGACTGTATTTATTTTTAAAACTGTTAATATAGTTAGTATTCACATTCTATACAGGATGTTTTAATTGTTTAAAAAATACTTTTCTTTTAGGTTTCAATTTTGATAAAAAATTCTGATTGCATGATGCCACATTTCCAGCATTGATTCTGCCCATCTTCAGGCTACAACAACAATCAAACTTCATTACATCACAATCAATTTTTGTTACTTATTTTTTATTTTTGAATCATTCACCACTACACTCAATACAAACTTGCCAAATGTTGTAATGTTCAAACATTAATATGGTATCCTATTGCCATTGCCTTGAGATTAGGAAAAATACACCAACCTTTCATGTCTGACTCTGTCTGTGTGCAACAGTTGTGTTAAATGGAACTGAATGAAGGAAAAGAGGAGTATGTTGCAAGAATAGGTGTGTGTGTGTAGGTGTAGGACAATAATTTTATGGACTTTTCATTTTCCAAATTTAGCCTGAAAATGGGCAGAATTAATGCTAAAAATGTTGCGTCATTTATATAAATGTAATTGTTTTGGGAACTAGTGTATCAAAATTGAAATCTAAAAGAAATAGTGTCTTTTAAACAATTAAGTGTATGGAATGTGTATATCAACAATATTAATAGTTTTTATATTAATGTCAGCAGAAATTTAAGACCAGAAAGAAGTGAGAGAATATTTGAATGTCACACAAATGAATGTCAGTAGATTTTGCCCAAAGAACAATTATTTTTTAAAACCCCTCTTTTACATTTTTCATGGAACCATAGGGAAAATGGTGTAAATTGCGGGGAGTGCAAATATGGGGAAACATTTTTTTTTCTTTCTTCTTTCAAACTGTGAGTATATTAATGTTTTTAGATACATACAATTAATAAGGATTATGCTTTAATACTCAGTAAGTGGTCTGATAAACAGTATTACAGGGTCAAGTAGAAATCTGACAGAAATATACATCAGAAATCAAAGGCATATTAACCGAAGCATAGTGAATTTTAAGTATTGTAACGACACTTCTTCCCTGCCAGCCACTGATGGTAGCCTTTTACAATGCAACAAGTACTCATTGTTGGATGAAGGGAGGGAAATGGTATTTCTTCTGTAAGAAAAAAAAAGTGAAGTTTACATCAACTCAATAAAATGTTTGTTTTCGGCAGTTCGTAATGACTTCCAACAAGTAATTTTTGTCAATTTATTTATGAAATAATAGAAAGAGGGTTCAAGAAATGAATTTACAGTTAGATGTACATAGGATTCCGTACTGTGATGTTTGAGCTATTAAAAAATGGGAATAAATTATATTTATTTTAAAATGAGAAAGTGTGGAAGTGTGAAGAAGGATGATGTTAAATAAACAAATGAGCGTGAAGTGACCCCTCTTAGGCTTGTTACATGAGCTTTGCATTGGCGCATGTCACCCAAAATTAATGAGGTCAGCTGCATCAATGCCTGTGCACTCGTCCCATAACGTGCATCGTAGATTAACACTTACCTTATGCCAAACAGCACATGAGCGCTCTTGGCAAGGTGCGTTGTGCCCACTGCAACAAATAAAGACGCTCAAGGTAAAGTGCGTTTTCTAGCTTTCAATGCGCTAGGCGATGAGCGTTGGCAACATCACATGTTGCCAAGAGTGCTCTTGTGCATTTCGCATTTGAAAGTGTTAATCTACGATAAGTGACTTGCATGCTTAGGCATTGACGCAGCTGGTGTTATCAGTGTTAGGTGATGCACATCAATGCAATGTAAGTGTGACAGACCTTATAATGTACCAAAGCACATTGGTAATTTTTTCTACCTTTTTAAATGTCTCTGTAATGTCATGAAATGCATAAGTTTTTATAGGCCTAGCTGCTCAATAATAATAGTCACTGTATTTAAATCTTCTAGTCTTCATGTAACATTTCACAACACTTCATAATATCACACCTTTTCTGGACGATTATTTCCTTTACCATGTTATGGATTACCACAAGATATCTGCTACCACCACAGAATTTCTCTCACCATTTCATTAGCCTTTCAATTACAGCCATTTTTAACTCGGCAAGGTGGTTGGAAAATGCAGAGATAGTGCCGAATGTGCTTTCCAGATGGTGTTAGGGCAAGCAGACTGTTGTAAATTGCATGAAAATTGATATTACACTGTTGTAAATGCAGGGTATTCATAACATAAATATTCGAAAACTGATGGTATTGACACGAAATGTTGTAAATGCCAGGGAAAAGTAAATTGTGGGAACGTAAAAGCGAGATTTTACTATTTTAATGTTTGGATACACATGCTTCTTCTTTATCTTGCTCTATGCCGTATGCAAGTGTTTTTGTAATTAGAAATGCTTGAAAGGAGTTAATAATGCCATTAGCGAGAGCACCAAAACTTATTTGTGTTAAGAATTTTTGTGTACATTCTGGTAATATTAGCTCTGATAATAATTCACACTACCGCCTTAAGTTTCATATGACAAGGAAGCTTAGAACCGGAAATAACAGTTGTTAGGAAAACCTTTAAATAAACGTAATACTTTTATTTTGTCTTTAAAACCTCTTTTTCATGAAGTCAACCTAGTAGAAGGATTCATAATGCAATGCAAGAATTTTGACGCCTTTAACCTTCTGTCCCTGGGATTGGAGCTAATACAATGGAATAGTCCAGGTGCTCCCCAAAAAATGAATCTCTCCTTACAGAGATAAGTGCAACCTAAATCAGTCCTAACGTTGTTACCAGAATTCTTTCTTTTTCTGTTGCTGTTGTGGTAGCCTTCTTGGAGAAAAAGTGGCAAGTCTGCTGTACTGTTTTACAAACAACTAGAAAAGCAGTAACTAGATTTTGTATCAATATCATTTTGTGAGAAATTCTGCTTTAAAGGTAACTGCTCTTAGGTTAAAAGTTTACTGCTTGTAGGTACTTCTTAATTAGGTCAAAAATGGTTGATAAATTCAAAGTGATATTATACAGTGTGAATTGACTATCCAATAATGCATAGTACTGCAAGACACATTCACATTGTTGCTTCAGTATTTCATACAAATATCAAACATACACCTCATTGAAAATATTGCAAACTACCCTGCAAACCTTAACTGCATCAAAAGACTTGCATTACCATTCATATTAGGCTTGGGCGTCGCAGTGCCCTTGCATGCAGCCAGCGATCAATCAAATGTGATACGAGCCATCGGAACTCGCAGACCAGCATAGAGGAAAGTGGAAATGAGTCTTCAGTGGAGAGGGAAGAGGAACTGGTGCGAATATTCCCTCATCGATAAAACAAGAAAATAGAGCAGAGTACGTCTTGGTGCTCCACTCTTTGCTTTCTAGTTGCTGCAATTGTTAATATTTTCTTTGGTAGTGTAGATAAATATATACTGAGCACATAATTGTTGAAAGAAGTCTTTTATGATTTTATATCACGGTGAAAAATTTACTTCATTTTCTCAGGTTTTCAGTGAATATAAACTTGATGTTTTGCCATTTTCTTGATGAGATAAAATTATATGATACATTAGTTATGACTTTTTTTCTATAACAAAATTGAATTGAAAAAACAGAAAAGTTATTTGAATCTCTTGAGAAACCAGGACCCAAATTTTGAAGATTTATGTACATTTTAAAAATGTCTACTCTTGCATAAAATTATACAAAAACACGATATTTATGTTTGAACTAGTGGTGCTAAAAGAAGCTCATACTTTCTCACCTATATTTTTATGCAAAATTACTTGAAAAGTACTCAGTTTTGAAATATTGTACAGGACCTTATTTCAAAATCTATTTTTAAGGAACAGATTTCATTAAGAGAATAGATCTGTCTTCATAATTGTAGTTGTAGGAAGATGAAAAAATTTGGAATTTTTTCATCTTCTGTTCATTTGATTTTCACAAAATTAGAGCTTTTAACAAAACTGAAACCTACACCATTCTCTTAATTGTCCTTCACACTATCCAACACAAAACGTATCAAAATTGATGGAGCATTTTTTTTTAAATTCTAAAAATGTCCCATGGGCTTCGTGTAAGGAACCCTCAAAATTAAGATGATTTCAAATTCAAATGACATCAGCCAGATCGATCAAGGAATATCAATTTTGGAGAAAATCAACTGAGCAGTTTAGCCTCTGGTGTTCTCCACAGATAGTCTGACATTTTGCCTCTAATTCTTTTCTTTTTCTTTCCTTTGTAGACTAAAGAAAAAAAAATCTATTATTAGGTAATCAGTGTTGTAATATTGGAAAATTTAAAAAAATATATTTTTAAAATGTACCTGAGAATGATGGCAAAATGGCTAGGAAGTATAGAATACAAAGATAAGTGGAAATATAAGTGCAAAAGATTTTTACATCGTTACACCCTGTGGAAGGTCGCAGAATGGCGACCGAAATGTCGGCACCTTCGCCATGGACGCGACTTCACCCGGACAGCCAATTAAAGGAATTGAAAATATTATTAAATTTCTTTTATTAATTGAAATATTAGTGTTTAAATTTTGTACTAGAATTTATTATTTTACAAATATTTTGTTACACAACTGTCATTTCAGAGTAGAAAAAGATTTTTCACATTTGTTAATTGGGATTTGAGGGGTATGAGATATTTGGTATGATAAATTATTTGAATTTTCAAATCTTGAATGTTCTTGAACATTTTTTTAAATATTCAGTGCAGATTTCTCCTAAGGTTAAAAAAAATTGAATGTATTTATGTAGGTCCTGTTAGTAGTTCATTGCAAAATGTATCAAAATTACAAGAACATCAAAATCTGGTTTTCTTAATAAATTTGTGATGTAGCTGTGGTAATACACGTTTTGGATTATTTTTTAAATGTTGGAAAATGCTAATGGGCAAATACTTTTTTTTTATATATTTATAATTGGAATACATTGGTCTTCCGATTAAGATTGTACAAGTTATCTGTACATAATATATCTGATATCTGAATATGGTGGATTTTTGAGAAATACCAAATGAAACAGTCTGAATGACACCATATGTTTAGATATTTGCTAGGTTCTTACTTTCGGGGCTGGCCAATTTCAGTGCAAATGAAGTACTGTTTTATTCATATGGTATATTACTTTCAAATCTTATACATTTGTATTCGGCAAATATATAGCTCGAATGATTTGTTGAAATTTTGATGTAAATTCTTCACTGAATTATTTTCAAAAAATATATGAATTTTAAGGTTGGTAATTATGCATATCTAGAAAATAACTATAATTTTGTCATTAATTACTATTGCAGAAAATTCCTCAGCAAATTGATTAGCAGATGAACTTTCCTTAACAAAAAAAATTGAATCAGTTAAAGAAATGCACATGCAAATCAGATTCTGAACTCCTATATTAACTTGCCGTGTGGTCGGTTTTTCAGTGGGGTATTATGCTCTTTTTCCAGTGTGACGCAAGAAGTGAACCTTGCTCTCAAACGCTATCAGTAAGGCTCCTTCCTATTCCCGCTGTCAGGAGTAGCTAGGATTTCTATATTTTTAGCAAAGCAAATTCTCAGAAGCAATGCATCTGTTTCTTATTGAAGTAATGGAAGTAAGTACCTTACCCAAAAAGATCCTAGCCTGTGCCCCGATTTCCTTAACAAAGAATGGCCTGTGTGAGTCTCACTAAAAGATTGCTCTTATTCTGAGAATTTTCATTCACTAAACTGATTAATATTGAATTTTAACTACTTGGTTGGTTAATCAATTGCCACTAATTCTGCTGAAAATATATTTTGTTAATGACCTTTGCTGTTGTGTGAATTGGAAATTAACTTGTGTTTTCTTAAACCTTTGAAGTTTTTAATTTCTTTTAATTTATCATTATAACCTTAACTTAAGAGTTACTTGATTTATGTTGAAAGGTTTGAAGGTTGCTGGATTTTGAGTTCATGTAAGAAATGAAGAATTATGCTGAAGTTTTGTTACCCTTCCTTTTTTTCTCAGAGTAGATGATCACAACACATGATTTGATTAAAATGTGGCTTGGAATAATTTCTTTCTTACTTGCAAAGTAACAAATCGAAGATGGGAAAAGGAGAAAGTGAAGTTAGAAAGTTCGAGCAAATCTGATCTTTTCTTTTGGTCTCTTAGGCGCAGTGGTCCTGGTTCAGTGATGAGCATGGGTTCCCGGCTGACAGGGAGCAAGCGTGGATCCATCCCTACAGGCAGTGGTGATGACTCCTCAGTCCAGGACGACATGATTGATGGAGAAGAAGTTCCAAATTAGATGTGCTTCATTTCCTTCTTCCCAGTTGCCACAGCATAGAGGTCTAGTTGGAAGTGTGCAAGTTGCGTGCCTTAGCACACTGCCAAGGTATTTTTTTTAGGTTGTCAATATGAAGTTTTTGTTTTACAAATTGGCAAGTTGTGACTATAGGTGAGCATGCAATTTGCATAAATCTCAAGGACCCATGTGCTGAACTTGATTGTATGATTATTTAACACTGTGATTTAGTGATGTATGCCTGCCTAGCAGTGTATAACAAATTTGCTCCTCCTGTGGGTAAAGGAGCAAAGAACATTCCCTTGCTTTTGCATCAGAAAAGAATCATGGTTTCACCATTCCACGAGCTGTAAAGATTTGGGAGCAAACATTTGGAGGACTGAGGCAACTTGCCCACACATGTAATGTACTAACCCTGCTTAGTGGGTGTGCACTGCTGTCCTCTGGCTCCCTGGTGCGTAGAGAGTTCGAGGCTCCCAAACTGGATGTCCTCGTGCCTTGAGAAAGAATGAGTCTGAAGAACTGCTTAGTTGCTGTGTGTACCATTCTGCCTAGATGAGTTTTCTTCAGGAAGTTATGAAAAGACTAACGTGATTTTTCTTATAATGTGAGACACAATTTGTACAGCAATCAATGTTTTTCAAATCTGGTGATAGGTATCTTACAGGAAAGCTTGATACTATAATAACCTGATATTTGCCTTCATTTTTCTACTCTGTATGTAGGTGCATAGAAATCTTAGTGAATTGTATTTAATGATCCCGAGTCAAGAGTACTTAGCTCTAATTTTGTAATTTAAGGTTTTTCTTATTTGGTTATTCAGAGACAATTGAGTGAATGCTGGTGTTGTAAGTTGAGCATGAATGTAAATAAATAACACACCACTTCTAATTCTTTACATTTAGATGACATTGTACTGAGTTTCAACAATGAGGGACATTTTCAAAATCTTGTTATAAAACAGGTCAATAAATCTTTACTATTATTCAGACTGTGACTAGTGCCCGATCCCATGTCTTCCTAACTCCTAATGAAGTCCCTCAATGCTGTGTTATGAATAATGGTCTATTATTGAATTTATTCACCAATTATCTTTTTTATTAGACTTGTTCTAGGAACAATGTCATGATGTAATATATTAAATTGTACATAAAGTTTACTTAAATAATTTTTATGAAATTTATTAAATATTTTAAACAAAGCAATCATGTCAGCATTTATAGTCAATGGATATTGAGAAGGAACTGGTGAACATAATTTAATTTGCATTGGAAAAGGTTCCCATTTTCCTGAAGACAGTGCATTGATGGTGTCACAGTGAGATTGTATTGTGATTAATTTTGTATTGTGGATAGCCATACTAAACCAATCGTAAATTAAGAATTGGTGTCTGAGAAGGTATAGGCTAAGTATGATGGGGTTATAGGAAATGCTATAAAAGGAAATAAAAGGAAAAACCATGAATAATTCTGTTAGTTTTATTTTATCCTTTGGAAAACTACTGTATCTTTTTTATGCTAGTTGTTGTTTGTTTGTATTAAGTAGGAAGAATGTTGATAGAAAAAAAACACTATCTTGTAAGTTATGAGAAGGAGGAATTGTAGAAATGGTCTTTACAAAATTCAAAAGGTACAAATTAAAGAGAGAGAACTTGGATTGAAATTTAGCAAGGGAGATTTCTCTTTGAAGAGAGGGCCTGTTAAGTCAAAAACAATGAATGTGAGTGGACACATGCTTTTCATACGATGGCCTGATGTAATTGTGCAGATGCAAGTTATTAAGGACCATGGTATTACTGTGAGGTATCTCACTTAAGACAATGTTATGAACATGACATTTGATTACTTACTAGACTTGGTTAGACTAGGCAGAATCATAAGAAAATTAGAAATCATTGTTAATCCCTTGAGCAGGCATTTCTGAAACTCAGGTGGACTTGCTGCTTGAAACTTGGGGAAGCTTGAATTTTCAATCATTCAACTAAGATAGGTTGGTGCATCTCATAAATCTGCACTTTCCTATTTGAATATATCTTACTTTTTCAATGGCTCCTAGAGCTTTTCAGCTCTGCAAATTATTAAGCCTAGACACTACGGACTTAAAAACTGCTGATGCTTGAAACCACTTGCACTAAGGTCTAGTAACTGGAATCACATTTCCACAATCATCCAGGCATTCTTTAATATCCCTTGGGAATAATTGAATTTTCTCCACACTTTCAAACTTTTAGTAGGAAGAGGTATCTGTCACCTTGTAGTAGGGATGAGGGAGACACACCTCAGTGCCAAGAGCGAGAACAGGTTGGAAATTGGAGTCACTTGCTCTCTTGATTGCCCAGTAAAGCCCTAACAAATATTTAATTGAAAAACAGTATATTTAAAGATATAATTGACATTTTTAACTGATCCAATTATTGTAACTTTGTATAACTGCATAATAGTTATTTACAAAATAAGCATTATAAAAGACTCAACTGGTTATTAAACTCATTTGAGAATTCTCCACTCATATATTGTAATAAGATGTCACAATACAAATATTGTGCATTATTTCCACTTTGTTCAAATTCAAATGATTATAATTTTTGTTTAAATATAATATTATTTTTGTTAATTTAGCCTCGGAATTGTGACACTAATATTGACAGAAGTTAATAGACCGCCATGAATTATTAGAACGGTTTTAATACCACTTTTATTACAACTACAAACCGAAATTGATAGTAATAGTAGGTCATGGTTCACACTTGGAGAACATTCTAGTGGTAATGCTGTCAAGATTGATTGCGATTTCATAAAGTTTAACTTAAGATAACCAAAGTGGATGAAAATTATGTATTATTCAGAAGACTTAACCATATTTGAATGTTGTTACTTTTGTATTAATTGGTGCAGTAAAAGTTTATTAGGAGAAGGGAAGGTTGAAAAGTCCTCATATTTTCTTCTTCTGGGTAAAATGGACAAATATATTATTTGTTTTTACGCTTGAAGAAAAATGTGTATTTTTCTAATTTAATAATAACGAAGGAATTTATTTTGACTATTCCACTCGTGAAATTAATACCATTAGTGTTTAACTATATTTGCAAAATGCCCCAATCAGGGCAGTGTAACTCAAAAAGTTTATCGCTTTTTCTCTCCGTTATTTCTTACCGCTTCTAGCTACGGGGGAATCATACATTGTGACTCGACCATATTAGGAGGCGATTTACATCTATCGCTATGTCGATGTCTAATTAACAGATTATGTTCTATAACATAATCTCTGATTTTAACACACGCTTTAAATTCAATATTTGGCGCAGTTTGGAACTCTGTTGGACATACTTTCACCCGTGGAATAGTCCTATTAAATACCACTTGTGCTTTGGAAATTCTCAGATAAATCACCTGCTTGCTTCACGAATCCCGAATTTATTGGCAATTTCCAAAGCACTCGTATTTCCTGTGATAAAATTGTAAATTACATATGCATTTAAGCAACACGAAAATGGCTGAAGAGGAACTCTCGTCCTTTCTTTCCTCTTGCACTTATATTTCTCTATATTATTTCTGTTGTTGATTATTTCAGTTTTTCCAGCTAAAATACTGAGCCATTTAAGAGAAGTATGGTATAATTTCAAAGGTATTTTGTATAGATTAGGGGTGATCATGACTGAAATTGTTACTGTCATTTTAATAATTAAATTATTAAAATGAAGAATAGAAAAATAAAAACAGGAACAGGGGTGTTGAATGCAGAACTATATTTAAGTATAGAAGTTTTTTTTTCTATAAACTTGGGTTATCACATTTCCTGAACATGTGCTGGAAAATGGAATAATTCTCTAATCCTGGATGATTGCTGACGTTACCCTCGTGAAGAAAGAAGATTGACTTCCGGAAGATCTAGTGACAAGACGTGTGTATAGTGAGTGAGAACTCAGATGGTCTTATGCCATTGTACTTCGTAAAATATTTTTAATCAGCTTTCATTTTGAAAACGTTCTTTGGGCGCTGCCGAGCGTGACAGTGTCAAAAATAATGTCAGTGCTGTAAAGAAAATTGTTAATAGTGAGCAATATTCAATTATTAGGAAGTTTGCAAGATCTTTAACATCTTAGTTTGAAAATTTGACCCTTTAAGCAAATGTGCAAGTTTTCCGCAACATCTACAGGGTATTTTGATTGAAGTTTTTGTGCTTCTTCGTATATTTCCTCGTCCGAATCAGCTATCAAAAGTTGTGGCTGAATCACATTGAAAATTGCCACTGTATTTTTCAATCCAACTGGTTAATGCCAATATCTAGGCATCTATTGTTAATATTATGTTTGTATTTTTGTTCGCCACAAGTCGTTGATCCTTACAAAGTTCGTCGTATGTAATGTATGTCGTCGTAATGTAATTTCGTATTCTTCACTCGTTTATCGCTAAATGCTCTCGCGAGAATATATTCTTTGCAAATGCCGATATCTATAACTACAACACTCAACGTAGTAATCATATTCATCAGGTGATGGTATCAACAGCTCACTACAAATAATATCACATACAAGTACGTACTTTTATACCTTTGCTAGAGGACATTAAACGATTAAATTCGATACTAAAGTTTAAGTCCCAAATAAAATTTTTCAGCTGCCTTTCTATACGATTAGAGACTACCGAGCAACCAAAAGGAAATTAATATTAATTTTAACAATGACATTTAATGTATTATTTACCATTTGGATTGTTTAATTCTAAAGAACCTGTAACAAGTATTGTACTTCAGCTTCTGAGCACACTTCGTCCAGTTTCCCTGATCCTTGAGCAAATACTGAGATGGCCCCTTGTTTTGCTTCTCGGCTACCTAATCGAACTTACCACATGCCCTTCCTTGCCTGCTTATCATCTGTTGCCACGCAAAACATATTTTTTTTGAAAATTGCTTATTTTTTTCGGTTTCCTAATAGTATAACGGAAATATTTAAGAATATTAAAGAACAGTAAATCCTCGTCCTAAATGGCAAATTCCTTTGAAAAATTTGGAGCGATGCAATCGCGAAAATCTTGTTAGAAGTAATATGAAGCAATTTTTTACTCAGAAATACAAGAGTGTTCATAAATTGTTGGAGATGTACATATTACCGGTGTGAGATATCTTTCAAAAAAATTACATTTGTGTAATTTTAAAAAAAACTTCGAAATGAACTTTACCTCATATTAAAGAGTGCAATTGGCACGAAAGAAAAGAAAAGGAGAAAACTATTGAAGAAAAAATTTGGAGCCGTTTTTGAAAAAATGGCTTTTGAGCATTTCTAGAAATGCGAAATTTTGAGCTAATTTTGACAGAAAACGGTTTGTTTTCGAGAAGCTTTATTTGATATTATTTAAATCACATGCACTCATGAATATAATACTAATGTGAACAAATCGCCACCATGTAATTTAAGGACGTGGGAGACAAGTCAAAACATTACATACTATATATATATATATATATATATATATATATATATATATATATATATATATATATTGCCACGCTCACACCTCTAACTTAACATCGGCTAACTCTCGATTCCTGTTGGTTACCTGTAAGTGACTAAATGAGGATGGACGTCGTAGAAAAATAGTGAACATAATTTCCCTAATGTAATGTCTGAATAAGCCCACAAGAAATAAAAATAATGAGCTTATTAGTTTACAATAATTCTTAAAGAAAATAGTTACATTGAAAGATCTAGATTTTTTCATTCTCGCCAATGCGCGACCGAGATTTGTCATTACTATTACATGTGATAGTTTTTGATCAAAAGTTTTGCCTGAAGGTCTGAAACATAACCATCCCAAGTTCAGCAGATGGCATCACCCGTTTGTTGTCCTCGATGTCGTTGACTTGACCAGCCGTTCCGGCCTTCTCTTCGGGCGTAAAGGTCGGGCAGGTTGGCTGGCTGGACGTCTCCGAGGGCGATGTGAGCCTCGGCCGCAGGTAGCAGAGTTCGTCGCGCGCTTCCGCACCCTCGCGCTACACAACTCACGGGAGGCACGCAAACGAGTTTCTTCCTCCACGCACTGTAATATCGATTCAGCAGGAGCTCATATTTTGTATTTTTTCTAATCATTCTCAATTCTCGCGACACTTTGTAAAATTCATCGGAATAGTAGCATATCGAGAACAGCTTTACGTAATTTGAAAAAAGTTCAATCACTGCCCTTCAATCAGGGAATTATGTAAGCAGAAACTTTGTGCCAAGAAACAACACATTTGTTTCTTTCTTTTGGCGTCGCCTAAGAGAATAGAATTAGAAAATTTGATATCTTTCTGTCCACACTGATTTCCCGAAGGGCACTCACAAGAGAACTGTTTCTTACGACAGCCCAAAGTCAAGTGCTCCTCACATCAGTCGAACAAGTAGTCCGCTTCTTACGGCGGCCACATGAGAAGTCCCTTTGTGCAGCCAGTGGAGAATCTCCTCCAACTCTGCTCTCCCCACCCTTTTATTGCCAAAAGTTCCAGATCGTTCTGAAATCTAATGGACATGCTTAGTTATTGGCTTAGACTCACTACACCGCAATTAAACCTTAGCCAATCATAGAAGGCGCCTTAAAGGTTCATTCTGGAAAATTCCATTATCTCCATCCTTGTTCCTTACACTGTTTCAAACATGCACGTGGCTCCGCTGCGCACGTTATCGTTGGCGGTGGCCCAAAACTTTCCACTACTATGGGTGAATCATTAAGTCGCAATCCTCACCATCATCGGCGGGCGGGCGTGTGCCGGGAATGGGCGAAGGGTGCACCTGTTGTCCCTGGCACTCGGCCTTTCAGAGGGGATGGGGTTTCGGCGGGAACTGTGTGCCTCTATCGAGGACGCTCATAAAGAAAGAGACGGACAGGTGGGCGCGAGAAGGGTCATCGCCTGTGCGGCACCGTAGAAATCAACAAAACTCGAGTTCGTTTTTACGTCGCATTTTCAAGAGACAAGAACCAGTATTATTACACAAGTAAGGAAAAATCAGTGTGTAAATTCTTGAAATAATTCAATATATATTACAAAGCACTGAAAATAACCATTTACGTATACACGTACGTATAGGGAAAGGAAAATGGATTTCGAGATTTCAACGGAATTACACGTTTTGGGGTCCCCAGATACCGAAGAAGTGTTTTTTTCAAAACGCCCGTGTATGTGTGTCGACGTGTGTATGTCCGTTTGGTGTCTGAGAACACTACTAAACCATGCGTAGGATTGAAGAAACCCGTGTCCATCTGAGTCTAGTCGCAACTTTGAGATTTTGAAAAAAACATTATTCAAAATTTGGGGGTATTTTAAATGAAGCCCTTCGAACATTTTCAAAATTTTCTCAAAAACAGCTCCAATTTTTTTCTTTAAATTTCTTGTAAAATGGAGTAACATACACTTATAAAAGTGGCATAGGTCATATTTTCACTGTTAACTCTGAATTTTCGAAAATTTCAAAAGAATAAATTTTGTTCAGTTACAAATATAAATTGAAGATAGAAATTTTTTCTAATGAAATTTGTTGTCCATAATTAGTTCCTTTATTAAGGTCATGTACATTTTTTGAAAATTTAAGTAGTTTTTGCACAATATATTGTACAACATTTGCAGTTTTAAAGAATTCCAAAAACGAGATATTCTCAAAAACGGCTTCAAATGTTTTCTTTAAACTTTTGGTAGGGATAGTACTACATGCACTCTATGAGGTGACGTAAACGCCGTGTTGCTCTTTTTTTGGTTTTTCAGAAAATACAAAAAAACATTTTTTTGACTTGTGTCTCACGTCATTAATATTTACTCCAGCGGTAATTTGTTCACAATATTGTATTTATGAGTATATGTGTTTTAAATAATGCCATATAAAGTTTCTCGAAAACTACCGTTTTCTATGAAAACTAGCCACGTACTAGAGTACTGTAGCCTCATATCAGTCGCCTTGTACAAATATCAGTCACGTGCATTTCATGCTCATGGACAGCGCTGGCGGGAAGAGACGCCGGGCTGCACAATGGCAAACCTAGGGAGAGGAAGGGAATGGGTGCCGTGGTGGCCACTTGTGAACCCCGAAGACCACTTGCGGCAAACTTGGGAACCCCGTAGACAGGCTATCTGCGGAAAGGCGTTGGCGGAAACAGCGAGATGACTTAGTTCCGTCAGCCGGACCAGAAGGAAATATAAACGGACCCCAGACCTAAACTTCTCCTGATTCTTGGGCGCGTCGGTATGAAGTCGTGTGGGTTGTGCGCTGCGCTGAATTTTAATGCATATTCTACTGAGGCAGGGAACTGAAGCCGATGTGATACGTCGAGACGGGAGTTGCGGCATACTCGCTTGTATGCTCACGTAGGCTACTGGTGCATCACACCGAATA